GAGGCAGAGCATGATCATGTTACGCTCCTTTGAGGAGAACAGAATCAAAATTTCTTGGTTAACATGATCAGACAGGAGAGATCATGACGCAGGACCTCGGGGGACCCTTCCCTCTGCAGGAAGCCTGCAGGGGTCCATGCGCTCAAAAGGAAAAGCATTTGTGTGTTTGGTTGGTCGGTTTTTGCTTAATATGGGTAGTCCTTCTTCTAGGCTCCAAGTTCCTTGATGTCTGGAACTGTTTTATTAAGCTTTGTCTGGGGGCTGGCACAAGGCAGGAGCAACATAAATGTGTAGTGAATTAAAGACTATCAAAATGATGATTAAACACATCCACAAGGATTTAACTTATCCGGTCCCTCTGTGCAGACCTCAGATCTACTCAGATTCTCTTCCTGTCGATTTCTCTTCCTCCTCTCCTCTCCACCTCAGTCTTTCTCCCCACCCAGGAGGGCAATTAATAATTTAGCAAACAATAGTGCGTTCTGATGGTTAAGAATATAACAACTTAATTGATATTTGTTTCTACAGCAACACAGCATCTCATTTTCCTAGGAGGGCTGTTCCAGGTTTCTCACAATAAAACAGATCGATCTTGGGGATGTAGGCCATTTGTCAAGAAAGAAAGATCGTGGGTAATGGGTTTATAACAGACACAATACTGTAATCATTGTGCTTTAAACACTGACATTTATTTAGGGTTTGGCGAACTCATACATTATTAGGATAAATTCTAATTAATATCAGTATATAATAGGCAAATATATAATACAATAAATTGCATTTGTACACATAAATACAAAATTTGAGGTAGGGCCTCAAGAATAATAACTTCTTAGATGAATAATACACATTATATAGCATGTACTCTATAAGATATATATGATGTATCATTTATAACGTATTTTCTTCATGTTCAGTTAATGAAAAAATATAAGGAATTGATTAGGGAACACATATTTATTTGTGGGCAACAATACCACATAAGATGCCAGCATTTAGGACATTAGCTAAGTACACAATGTAAGAATTAACCTATTCCTTGATAGGTCCAGAATAAAGTGCAAAAAAAAAAAAAAAAAAGACCAACAAACGGGAGACAAAACCATTTTTAGTTCATTACTTAGTATCTTCCTAACAATAAAATACACCTATAAGGCAGATGGTTACCTGAAGATGTATTTAATCCATGCAGGACAAATCAAAGCCCACTGCTTACTTTTCAGAGGTGGTGAGTTCCCCAACCTGAAAACACTTGCTCTTTGGCCGCAGGCTGCTCAGAGAAGAGCTGAGCAGAGACCACATTGCAGAATTATTTGGCCTTTCTGGACAATCAAAGCCAACTCTGGGAAAGACAGAAAGCTTGACCTTCACAAATCCTGCAGGCTCCTTTGTGGGAAAATGGACATCCAGACCAAATCACTCGGCCCTTTGTCCCCAGCCTAGCTTTCTACAGGACCCCCATTGTGAAAGAAGAAAACGCTCGTTGCTTGGTCCCGGCCTTCTGTCTTTACAAGACAACCTGCCACACAGCGTGTTCTCTCTCAAGTCCTCTGGCTGAAAAGCAGCACCACAAACCCAAGGCCAGGTGCAACAATCACAGGGTGACCTTGCCGTCACACACATGTTGAGCAACGATCATCCTGCTCGCCTCTGGGAAGAGGACGATGACCTGCGGCCAAAGGAACCAAGAGGAAAGAAAATCTTCCTTTGAGCATAGGAAAACCATGCTGATGGGAAGCACTGAGGAACACGAAGATAACACCAACCTAATTAAAGGAAAACTCCACCTCAATGCAATATTAACATAAAGACAACCCAAGTCTTATCTATTTAAAGGTCACTCTGATGGATTTTTTTTTAAAGTGCTGCTCACCAAAATACAAGTGGATTACAATTTGTACATATTAAAAACACATCGGAAATTTCAAAGACATTGAGGTCAAGATTTTGCATTGACCACAGATTTCATGCAATCAATAAATGTAAAGGAAAAAGAAACAACAGCAAAAGACTAGAATTAAACACACTTGCACACGACAAACACAGCCCTAAGGAGAATGAAAGTTGCTAATACACAAGACCAGGATTTCCATAAGAAGCCACAACACCCATTTTTAAGAAATATACATTTTTTTTCTCCTTTAAGGATATTACAGGGTTGCTGTTTTTTTCACATATGGCTTTTTTTCCCCCTGGATGAGTTTCTGGCATTTGTTGATGTTATGAAATAATATTGCAAGGGAACAATGCCCCACCCTTCTCACGGTGAACCAGGACCTCAGTTTTCCCCCCAGTTTGAAGGGAAACTCTCAGGTGGCTGTCTGACAATGCTTTTCACTTCTGTTTGTTTGTTGTTTCTCTTCCAATTGCCTGTGCATTTTAGTAGCCTGTAAACAATCCATCTGGTCATACGCATCCCCGCTAACTCCATGGGAGACATAGCACGGTATACGCAGTCCCTGGAGACAGCTCAGCCCCCTGATGAACACACCCCTACCAGGAAAAGCCTCAAAGTTGAACATGGCTATAGAAACGGACAGAACGAATTCTACAAGGTAACCATTCCCAGGTAAGTTTGGAATCTTTCACCTGAGTGTGTGTCCTTTTAAATAAATTTTAAAGAAAAGTCAGAAATGGAAGGAAAAAGAAAAAAAAAATCACCATCTGTCTGCTCAGGGAACACCTACTAGGTCTTACCTGGAAAAATCCTAATCAACCCAAATGTAGATAGTCCCAAATATAAAACACGCCAGCTAGGGAGAAGAGCTCCATCCTCACGATTAACTCTCAGTTCGTACAGAACAAACCTGGCAGCATCCGTGGGGTCTCCTCCCACTTCTTTTAATCACAACAGCAATAATTAGCAGAAATGGGGTTGTCAGCCAGCATCAGACTCGAGTTTTAGCCAAGAGGCAAAAGGAAAGCCAAGACCATTCATCCTGACACAAACATACCAGTCCCCGGAGAGAATGCTAATTGATTCAAGCTCTTTTCTTCAACCTTCAAATTGGGAAGGCTGCGGATATTTTCCAGGCCTGCATCGTTCCTCCCGCCTCCCTCACCCCACCAGATAGCAATTGGAGAGGCAAATCGTCGGTGCCCTTATGCCATATCTGCTACAGTAATGGGGGCTTCTCATCATTATGGCTTTCTTGGAGAAACCTGCGTTCATGGCAGACAGGTCGAAATAGGAAACACCAGAACAGGCCACAGCTCGGCTTCCTAAAGTGAGGTTCAAGGGAAGCTCAGGGTCTAGTCTCTGTGATAATTTCTAGCAAGTTCTAGCTCGGGGAGACGGGAAAAAGGAGAACTGAGGAAGAACAGCCGTACCCCGCGGACAAAAGACGTGTAAACCTGAAGTTCAAAACCCTGCTTTGTTTCCTTTTCTAAAACCTTTCACAAGCTAATCTTGAAAACCGGAAGTTCACATCAGCCTTGGCAATGGCAATGATATTTGCCCTAGAAAAGGGAGAGCTCAGTAAAATGAGTAGAGGCTTTTTTTTTTTAAATGAAGTCATTTTTTTTTAAATGTTACATTAAAGTCTGTTGTTGGGTTTCACTGCCATTAAACAGGATGAAAATGTCACGTCAAGGTACAAGATTTGAACTGAAAACTTTGCCTGAGACCCTGTAATAGGAAGACAAATGGATACGAAAATGATTGAAATGACCTCCCCGCAAGGAAACCACTTTAGGTTTAGCTATTATTACTGTAAGGAAAAAAAAAAAATAGGCTACACTACTCTAAACTCACCATGTCTACAGTAATTCATAAGATATTTATATGGACAAAACACCACTACAAGTAAAGTACACACTACATGAACACATACCACGTTTTTAAAATTTCACATATGCATAATTCAGGATACAAGATAATAAAGGTTACAGCTTCACCAGTCTCTGCAGACGTATGATTCGCTCTCATTAGAGTGCAGTTATAATGACTACAGTGAATAGGGAACTCTGAAAATTGAATTGGCTAAATGTAGTCTTAAAAGCTATAGTTGTAATGGGCTCACTTGCTACTTACCTAAGCTGTATTTATCAGAAAATTTCTGTAAATACAAATGACCTAAAATGTACTACCAGCGCAGTGAATAGTGTGGGTGCTGTCTTTTAAACTCTCCATGTCTTTGATTTCTGTGCCCACAATTGGCATTTACTGTGAATGAAAAAGTTGAGTAAAAATTGTGAAGTGATCTGTTTTTTAAGAGTGTGTGTCCAGGATGTATAATATATAGACCAAACCAGGATAAGTCTTATTTTCCCAGGGGTTGAAAGACAACATGTCTATAGCTAATAGAAAGACATTTAAAAGAGAAGAACACAGATCGTAACATTGAACCATGATGCCGAATGTCATGTAGAAACTAGAATGGAACTCTACTACATGTACAAAATTAGGCACAAATTATGTGATGGCTCTTTGTGCAGCAGCGGGAGAAATAACCAAAAAAACTCACAAATGTAGTTATTTAAAAAAAAAAAAAGAAGAAGAAGAAGAAGCTAAGGGAAGAGAACTCACACTTCACCCAGAGGGTACAGAGAGTGAAACGTCTGAGTTCATGGTACGCTTGAGACAATTTGGTCCAAATGAAGGAAACAGATGCCCAATTGTGACTTGGAAATACAAACATAACTATCTCAATGGTGTCCAAATCTACCAGCCTGTCTTACATCCAAAACATTTTCTGTCCACTGCTGACTTTCTGAAAATACCCTGTCTTGAACTTTCTGTGTCTAAGTGAAATCACTACATTGTTCAGCTTGGTTCTAAGTGCTGGCAAGTCCAAATTAGCAGTCTTGTAATTCTGCTATTCTATAGAGGCCTTACTGGCACACACCCCGCAATGACAACCCACAGTGGACAATTCTCTACTAACCAAACCACACATACCCACTAGCACTCACCTAGTTGATCAGCCCCTGCAGGGTGAATGTGTGCTCAGGGGACCAACCGTACCCAACACAGACACCCTGGACATAGGAAATAGCACTTCAAGGGGACTGTCCAGCTCTTCACCATGGCATGTGACACTACGGCCTACTTTTCTACACAGCCACTCTCATGTATGGACATGGAACGAGACGTGGGGAGAAGGAAGAAGAAAAATGGGAAGAAAGGCGGGGAAAATATAAGGAGGAGGCAGAGAGGAAAACCAGGATCGAGTCTGGACCACCCCACACCCCTGGACTAGCACTGGGTGCCCAGTTCCAAATCCTTCACTGGCAGTTTGAGTCCCAGGGAAGAGGTTCCCAAGGGGTCGATCATGTTCTTATAACGCTCCCCGCGATGTTGAGCTAAGAAAGGGCCCCAGTCTGGCTGGGGCGAACACACCAACTTCAGCCTCTGCAAAGAAACCAAAGACACACATGGTCACAGAAGTAATGCACCTTCCTCCACGAGGCACCCCCCACCCATCCCCGCCCTGCTTGTGACCATTTTTGCTAGAGCCCCTGCGTGAGCCAAGAGGCTACCTACCAAAAGAGGCCGTTAGGAAGACGAGTCCCTATTAATTAACTAGGCCAGGGACAGTGAAGATGACATTTAGTTTGATTCACCTGAAATTATTTATATCATTCTGCAAGCAATATTATAATTGTTTTGTGTGTGCTTTGCACAAAATTAACAGAGGAGAAAGGGCCCAGATTTCAATTATCCATTTTTTCCTCTCAAATGAAGAGAACCTGCAAGCTTCTCTCCACTGCCAAACCCAGTCTGTAAAAGACACGTGCTCGATTATTTTTGTTTTGTAGTCTCAACAGTGGGCAGCTACATCAAAATAATTGGATTTTGTTTAGCACATTTCCCAAAAGTATACAAATGACCGGGGGGGGGGGGGAGGAAAAACAACCCCAAAGATACATCGCCACAAGTGAGCAAAGATTTTCATTATCTGTTGACACAATGTATGCTACTGACTTAGTTCAGCAATGTGGGTTTTTGCAGGTAAGCTAAAAATAATGGGAATGTTTCTAAACCCGCAACTAAAATTTTTATGGAAAACATAATTTGACTGGAACATTTTCTAGAGAAAGGAAAGAAAACATATTTCTGACTATATACAAGGGAACAATTATATGTTTATTACCTATTAAAGTGAAGCTGGTTCTTAGAGCTGTTGGTTTAATCGCTCCTTAATCATCAATTTGCAACCTTTATGTCCCAAATCAACCATAATAAATTTATATAGCCAACTCATCAGTTTAGAGAATTTCAGCCTAAGACTAAAGTAACAGAGGCTGGTTCTGTTCAGAAGGAGAGAGATTTCTGGGTCAGCTGGGTGGGAAGTTTATCTGGGGCAGGAGTTTGGCTCCCTGGGGCTCAGTCGGCTGAAGTCACTTGCCTCAAGGGGATAACAACCAGAATTTCTCAAGGATGAAAAGTGGAATAGAGCTTCAGTAAGAAGACGCCTATTAACCTACCTTTACAAAGACTGTTCCCATAGTCCAGTGGAAACCAAGACTACCTCCCTGCCACGGGGACATCTGTGTTGTTCACGAACCCACACATCCTGCTGCCCCCTCCTGCACCCTCAGAGAGATGCTCCAGAGGCCTCTTCCGCTCTCAGCCTGGCTGACCAGGAGCTAAGTCCACACAGCTGCTCTTTTCTGCCCTCCATCATCCGGTCTAGTGTGATGCTTCTCAAAGCATGCATCCGAGTGAGCATGCATCCGAGTGAGCATGCATCCCAGTGACCTGGTGAGCTTGTTAAACTCCAGGTTCCAGGTCCCACATCCTTAAGATTCTGGTTCCACTGAGCCGCCTGGAGTCTGATCGTTAGCATTTCCCACAGGCTCTCAGGCCATAGTCCTGCCGCTGGGCCCTGGACCAAACACTCAGTAGCACCGATCTAGTCCAAAATGCCAGATCCTCGAATTTTCAAGACAAAGGCAGGGCTGAACCATTCCTAGCATGCCTGAGCAAGTGACTTCTCATACATAACAAAAGCCTGACCAGGCTTCACTGGTGGCACAAGTGGCAGTCCCCTTCCCACCCACTCTGGAGTAAGGGTGGAGATGCTTTGCATTAGAACTAGGAAATGGGTCCAGCAAGGGACTATTTGATCAAAAAGGCAAGTCTTACCTCACACCAGCCATGCCCTGAAACTCTTTCTACTTTCTATGCAAAGGGTGAGATTTAAAAACATCTTGGACCCCTCAAATCATCCTCAACACAGGCCCAACAGAAGAGCGATAGTGATCTTAAGTTTAACAGTCATAGATGTTTGTGAGAAAGGAGGCTTGGACAGAGAGGAGCATCAGGAGGGGAGGAATCTGATGTGTGGTTAAAAACCAAATGCTGAGACTTAATTTGCGGATGAGGGCAGAGGAGGAGGATACTCCACGAAGGAGGACACATTCCGATCATTTATTCCCCGGAGCTGTCACCACACTGAGGAATAGCATAATAACAGCCCCACTTGCTGACTAGCTGAGCCCTTCCATTAGAGGCACAATACATAATAAAAATGGGTTTAATAGAAACGGTGGCAACTATAATCACTTAATCACGGAGTCTCCCTCTTGCATAAGTTTACTGAATCTGCTGTTTTTTTTTAACGTACAGAGCTTTCCGGGGCTCTCCCTTGGGAAAAGACGGCAGGAGGAAGGAGCAGACAGAATTACCTCAATAAATCTGCCAGGGGCCAGATGCATTTTTATCACAAACATAATGGGGATCCAGATAACGGAACAGGCCAGCATAAGCCACCCAAGCACCATGGACCAGTTAGGGTAGCGGTAAGAGCCGTAGGTCATGGGCTCCCACTGGTAAAAGCTGAAGCAAAGGATAAACTGGAGAGAGAAGAGAAACACACGCGTTAGGGTGGTGACATGAATTATTCATCCGTTGAACAAGATCAAACCCGTTATGAGTTTGACGCTTTCGTATCTATTATCTCATTTTACGCCCATGAAAGAGTAGTAGAATTATTAATCCATTTTTCAAATGAAGAAATTGAATTTCAAAGAGATGCAGATGACACGCACTTAGCTGCTGACCTGACCTTGCTGTCCTGTGGGAACTGAGAGACGTGCCGCCTTTGTGTAAATACATAGAGATGGGCCAAGAAGACACGTTTACAGGGTAAACACCAAGGCAACTCATGCATAGGGGGTGGTGGGGGGGGTTGAGGAGTTGTCTGTACTTTCTATAATGGATAATCAAGCTTTTGTTATAAGAAATGCCTTAAGTTTATAAATTTTCATTTGTAAAGAAACTGAATCTACTTTGCTTTTTCCTTGAATGAGGTATGATACTTTTCCAGGAGCGTTAGTGGCTGGGTGAGAGCCAGAGTGGTCCCAAGTGGTGACTGAGCTAGAAGCTTGGTCCTATAATAAGCTATGAGACAAAGAGAAGGCATGCCCAGCTCCCTCTCCAATGACTCAAGGTGAATAGGCATCATCACCAAGGGGTGAGCCGGGAGCCCAGAGACAGGCCAGCTAAGCTTGGATCTGCCACTAATTAGCTCAGGGACCTTTACGTCTCAGACTTCCATGCTATAAAATGGATACATTTCATTTCATGTACACAGCACAGGGGCTTTGGGAGAATTATAGTCTGATATTTACTCAAGAGTCCCCTGTCGATTTTAGGAGAGGTTGTGAGGTATTTTCGGCCCATTATCTCTTATCACTGCACACTTTGCCTGGCAACAGCTCCGAGAACCCCTCTGAAGACTTGGCGAGGGCAGCTGAAGAGGAGCAAGGGAACGCACATGCACCCGTGACAATGGAGCCAGGGTTCTAACTCCTACAATCCAGCTTTTGTGGGGAAAGAGGGGGATTTCCCTGAAAATGTTAAGACTCCCTTTACCCACCCTGCCTGTAGCAGCAACAGCCTAGAACAATTTACCCACATAAATCCTTTCCCCCTCCCTCCCTCTCTCTTCCTATCTTAAGCCATAAAATAACTGCCCAAAAATGATTGGAAAGAATTATGTCAGGAGGGATAATATATGAAAGTGTTTTGGAAAAACGTGACGCACTATACGAATGTTCTCTGCATCTGTATGATCACTGCAAAGCCCAGGCTGCTGGGGCCAAGTGATCATTTCAATGCAACAATAATTCAGTATATCAATTCTAGGCAACACGAGCCCAAAGACGACTGGTGAAAAAGGCTTCTATGGAAAGAGATGTCTCCTCTAGGCCCCCTTTTAAACATTTGCCCCTTGAGTTATAAGCTTTATTAACCAGTCTATCGGAAGTATGGCCTAATGTAATTACGGTAAGCTGCTCCATTTCATTTACTATATAAACAGCAATGCCTCTGCTTCTGTGCAGGCATAACTCAGTAACGTGATCTGACTATGTATACAATAATTGCACAGAGAATATTTATAGTTCTATAAATCCACAGAGGCACATATAAAAATGATCAATTTCATTTCCGAGGCTCCGAAGTAATTTAAACCCATCATTTGAGCCATTCCAGCACACCGAAGATATCCATTTTATAGAAGAGTAAATGGCAACAAATAAGTGCTGGGCTTGGTCCTTTGACATCCATTTCCAGTTGCACAAAAACAGGTAAAACTTATCTGTGTAAACTTATTCTGTGCCATAAATTGCCCTCTGCCAAGTCAACTTTGAAAAAACTCTGCCCTCTGACAGCCACAAGAAACAATAATGTGGCCACTGAGTCGGGACCGCCTACGTTTGTTTTTATTTCCGATTATTATGAGAGGAAACTGGACTAAGTTACATGGCTTGCTTTGTGAGGTTAAAGTCTGAGGTGTAGCTGTGCCCGTCCTCCAGGGAGCGTTCCCTATACCTGTGCAACGTACCCATTTGCCACCCACATTTCTTTGCTGATGCTAATAAAAAAAGGCACTGGAGAGAGACTCATCACTTGATAGTAATGATAATGGAATGGACCACTTCTGCTTGTCCATGGCCCCTGAACAACACAGAAGGGGGGGGGTCGTCTGCTTCAGGATACTTTCTGGGATCTCTCCACAACTTTCTGACAATGAGTTTTATAACAGACATCAAGTATAGCATAGCACAATTGAGGAATTTCTCAAAAAATACAGCAAATCCCTTGAATTTCTTTTTCCTGAAATTCTGCGCCTAAGAAGATTAGGACTATTTTAATCTAAAACTGGCCAAACTTCCACTTGGAAGTGCAGGCATTGGGTTTTAAAAAATATATTAGAGCATGGGCTTGAAGCCTGGATTCGATACTTGGCTCTGCCACCGGCAACCTTGTGGCCTCGAGCAAGTTCATTAACCTCTCCAAGCCTCAGTTCACACATTTGTAACATGTAGCAGAGAGGACATAGGCTTTAGAAACAAAGTTTGTAAGGTGCCTGCCTCATAACCTCAGCAAGTAGTAGTTATTACTATATGTTTCTGCAAAATATGATAAAATTCCCTGAAGCTTAGTATCTTCTAGGAAAGAAGGAAAAGGAAGATAGAATCCAGAACAGACTCGAAGTTTAATTTCAGCCAAGAATGAATCATGTGTGATAGTAACCGGGGACAGTGGCAAAGCTCAGAGGCCAGGAGCTCCCAGGGCCTGAGAATCAGCCCAAGGTGCTCAGCAGACATCTTCTTCCCACTAGTTATGTAAATTCGAGTTCTCCGTACGCTTTCCAGTCTTGAGTTCAGGAGACTGAAAGCCTTTACTAATCTTTTTCAATCCTCATGTCCTAAACCTGGTGGTCATTTTCAGACAAATTACAGTCTATAAACTATGGGTACCGATGTGGGTGTCGGTATGATGTCCACGTCAATTCAGAGGGAGCTAAATGATGAATGATTTTTGCTGTGTAAACTTCTAGCTTTACAAGAAGAAATTGAGGTGTTTTGATTAAAACTCACCTTATGACAGTGACAGAGAGAGAGGAAAGAGAAGGGAGAGAGAGAGAGAAGAAAGAGAAAAGAGAGGAGAGAGAGAGGAGAGAGGGGAGAGAGGGAAGAGAGGGGAGAGAGAGAGAAGAAAGAGAAAAGAGGGGAGAGAGAGAAGAGAGAGGGGAGAGAGGGGAGAGAGGGAAGAGAGAAAGAGAATGAATTTTCTTTGCAATTATACTTTCATCCTGTCTTGTATCCCTTTAGAAAAACTGGTACCCTTGTAAGATGCACCATACCCCATGACTGCCTTAATGTACACAGCTATGATTTAATTTAAAAAAAAAAAAAAAAAAAAAAAACTGGTACCCTCATAGGAAACACAAGGGTCTTAATCTGGTTTATAGTGCCACCTACTGGGTAAATCAGGAACTGCATCTGACTGCCTCCAGTCTTGCTAAAATGATGCCCCAACTCAGAAAAAAGACAAGATCTCTGCCAATCACTGTGCTTGGTCTGTGGACAAGGGCAAAACTGGCAGCTTGTGTGACACAATAACAAAGGTGGTCAAATGTGCATATGAAGTTCCTATGCAGATTTACTGACACATGCAAGGCCCTCATCTTTAAGATGAGCGTCAGATGATCCCAAAATGTTATCATCACACTTGCGGATGACAAGATAGTCCTCAAAAGCAATAAAAGTCTAAGTAATATTGTATCAGCTGTGGAGTAGCTGTATTGAGTAGGGATTTAGAGCATGAGTTCTGGAGCCAGACTACCTGGGTTTGAATCCAGGCTATTGCTGATTGTTAGGTGTGCAATGCAAGGCAAGAAACACAACTTTAGGCCTCAGTTTCCTCATCTGTAAAATGGAGAAAATTATAATGCCAACCTTGCAGAGCTGTTGCAAGAGAGAGGTGAGGCAAGATTTATAAAGTACCAAAAACAGAAACTGGAGCATGGTTAGCACTTGGGAAATGTTGGCTGTAACTGCACTCTGCTATAAGGCAGACTAACAGGATGGGAGATGTTCCACAGAAGTATTCCAAAAGCCCATACATGAGTCTTACTCTGCACCTGACCAGGAGGGACCTTTAGGAAGCCTTTTCATCTCTTTGAACCTCAGTTTCCTCACCTAAAAGACAAGAATAATACCCATTCCACCAGCTCCTAGGCTCACAGGCAATCACACCTGTTCAAATGTGACACATCACATAAACACACAGGGTGCTATCTGCACAATGAAGCATGCAATCCTTACGGTTAAAATGGTCGGGGTTACAAAGGCCCAGCAGACTTTCCAGAAAATGTTAGGCTGAAATCCAATCATCATTTCTATATCTTCACAGAACCTTTGCAAACCTGCAAACAGACAAGCAGAGACCAGGCATGAGGTACAGCGCAGGGTGTGAGGTGGCAGCAAGGGCAGGCACCAGAGCCCCTCACTGGAGTGCCATTGGCCAGGGATGGCCCCGGCCTGGTGTCCACATGACCCCTATTATGCAGGGAGCCATTAGACAAATGACTTGCTGCCGGGAAGGTTGGGCAAAGTGAACATTTAAATACATATTAAATACTCTCTGCAGTGAAGTTCAAAAATGCCAGCCCGCAGTGACATCTACAAAGCTCAGTTCCAGCCTGGCCCAAGTGTCTCAGCACTGCCACCACCTGGCGTCCTCACACACGCAGCCTCATGTGCTTAGTGACAACTCTGGCAAAAACTAACAAAGTTTGTGGTCAACAGTGGCGTGTATTCTGACATTTAGATTTGGGATTTAGAGAGACAGTTGTTGTACACTTGCTTTTGTCCCCCAATCTCCCAAGGACTCTCTTCCTGTGAGTCCTCTCTTTTTCTGTGTAAGATGATAATGCAGGCAAAATCCAGCATAAATTCCAAGTGGCCCTAGTCTACTCTGTTGTAACTCAGAGGACTGCTGTCTTCTTGATCACTCATCAACTTCACTAAAGTAAAAAGCAGAGGAGACAGTTATTCTCACAGTTCTACATAACCAGCACCCCTGCACCTTCTTGGTTTAGGAAGGTTTTGTAAAGCACTCCTCAAAAGGAAAAGCCATTGAAGAATGTTGTCACATTGGACAGATTCTGGCATTCCTTCTTGAGGTCACCAGAAGAGTGGCTTTCTCAGGACTGTGGGGTTGATAGGCTGAAGAGACCTGAAAAATCTCTGAGTTTAAGCTTCTCTGTAGTCAGCAGTTCTGAGTTAAATCTAATCTAAGGTGACCAGACGTCCTGCTTTTGGCAGGACAGTCCTGATTTTTAATAATTTGTCCCATATCCTGCAGCATTTTTAAAAAGTCTCAATTTTTGGAAAGAATGCATGACAAGCTAGGGAAGGGCAGGAGAATGGGAAGGGAATATACATTTTAGGCTGCTAAAAATGTTAATCTAACTCCATTTGGGAATGAAGAGGTTAATGTAACTTCATTTGGAAATGAAAAGGCTAATGTAAACTCCCTACTC